CTTCCTCTTTGCTTTAGGCTGGGCTGTCATTGGCATTGATCCTCAAGTGCATGTGTAAGTTAAAGATGGAGAGAAGTAACCACTCTGGCAAAGCAGATCTAACATGCTTGTATGTTGGTGATGGGGTAGAGGAGGTGGCTGGAGAGGGGAGGGATATTGGCCCAAACTTTTAGAGAAGATATTTAGTATTACATATGTATCTCTGTATGATATTTGGTATTACATATGTATCTCTAAAGATATTTGGTGTTACATACGTATCTCTATCCTGAAATAATGGCAGGATGCTTTTTACCCCCCTTAAATGAACAAGAAAAACCTAAGAGTCAAGAAGGGCAACTGGGGTCCTTCAGCTAAGGGATATCTGATACATTGTACCTGCTTTTCTTCAAGGTGGACTATTGTGTTGATTTTCTAGGAATGCTGTAATCAAGTATCGCAGGCACAGTGTCTTAAACAACAGAGCTTCTCACAGTTCTGGAGGCTAGAAGTCTGAGATTAAAGTCTCAGAGGGTTGGTTCCTCCCGAGGGTCTTGAGGGAAGGATCTGTTCTAGGCCTCTCTTCCTGGCTTGCAGGTCTCTGTGTTTTCTCGCTGTCTTCACATGATCTTCTCTCCAGCAGAAAAGCTGGCCGAAATTTCCCCATCTTGTAAGGACACCAGTCCTATTGGTTCAGAACTCACCCCAATGACCTAATTCTAACTTAATTAAAGACCATATGTCAAAATACAGTCATATTCTGAGGTACCAGAAGTTAAGACTTCACATAAAGATTTGAGGGAGAATACAGTTCAGCCTATAAAAATGAAACCACAGATATATCTCACCTCATAGAGTTTCTATTACTCTACCTTAAGGCACGTTCATTGGCTAAGTCACAAGTGACCAGTGAGCCTTGAATTAATTATGGTGTCTTTTAGGGAAGTCAAAAATTACTTTGTGAGTGGAAGACTTAGGTAATGTCATTATAATGTGAAAGACGATATCTAATCCTGGTCCTTGATTCCAACTAACTGGTCTTTGAGGAGTTGCAGGAGAGCCTTTGGAAGTGGGTCTCTATCACCTTGCAAACTGAAGATGTTGGGATCCCTTGTTTGAGGAGATTTCTCATGATCCTCCTATCCATACAACAAACTGCCCAATTCCTCTGGGTCTCCCTGGATCACAGCAGTGTTGGCTGGTGTACTCAATGGCAAGTGCTTGAACTTTCTTCTAGTAATAGAAGCTTCAGAAACTGATTTGGAAGCAGAAGTCCCTGTGGACAACTGACTGTCTATTCTCCACCCATTCGAGAGAGATGTCTCTGCAGCATAAGCTAGCCTAAAGCACTTGAAATTAGTAGAGGAACAGACATAGTAAAGAAATTTATCCCGTCTGGCCAGAAACAGTTACAGACTATTGTTGCTGGAATGAATCATGTTCCCAGCTTACTCCCAGGCTCTGAAATCCAGTGAGTGTGTAACAGTACTGGTCCTTAACGGAGCCATGAATTAATCCCTCTCCCATGCTGCTTACCTCTCATCTTCACTCTAGCAACCCTTCTTCACTTACCCAGGGCTCTCTAGCCTTCTGATGTCCAACAATGGTCTAGTACTTTCAAAATTCTTCTAGCCGTGTCTCTCCCCAGTGACAGTATAGTGCTTCAAACCTTCAAGATCTTCTAGGCTCACAAATCCTCTCTGTATCCCTTGCTCTTCTGGAATATCTCAATGATAGGAAACCCACTATCTTGGGCAACAACTCATTTCATTTTTGAATTACTTCCAATTTTTATAACACTCATCCTTTTCTGGAAACGTGATTTTTGTTCTCTCCAAATTTCATGCATCATTCTTAGACTGCTGTCAGTTAATCATACTCAATCAGTTTAAACCATCTCCTACTTGACTGCCATTGTACATCTGGAGACAGCTGGAAGGCCTGGTCTGAGTCTTCTGTACCTTAGTTTAGGCAATATGGCACCTGACATCTTCAACCAGGGTTTCAGGTGCCGTTATTTGGACCTTTTCCTTTGGCCCTCAATTCTCTGAGTGGGTCCTACTGGCTATTAGTGGATCAGCACTGCTACATGCTGAGATTCCTCTTCATTTCTCATGACTCAGATCAGATGCTACTTTCTTTGCAAAGCCTTCCTGACTGCTAACCAAATACCAGGATATGAACAACATTTTTCTTGGTATTCTCATACCACCTTGTACTTTGATGTAATACTTACCAAAAGGTACTATACCTATTGAACTATTGGTTTATATATATACATATGTGTGTGTGTGTGTGTGTGTGTGTGGGTGGGTGGGTGGGTGGGTGGGTGTGTATAATACCTATATCTATATATATATCTTTTCTCCTGCTACCTTGTGGACCTCTCTTTGACTAGGGACTTTGTCTTAATCATTACTGTATGCTCCATTCCAGCCTCAGAATAGCGGATTCTAATTGGTTGCTTTACTGATTCAGTAAACTAAAGTTAGAATTCCAGGTACCATGCTGGTCAGAAAGGGAAATGCCTTTGTTCCAGGAGGTTTTTGATGTTCCTCTGGTCCATCTGTTTGGGGGAAATCCTGGATGGTTTATATTTAAATAGTCCAGGCCAGGCTGAGAGATTTGTGGGGAGTAAAGTGTAGCATGGCATACCTCTAAGACCTCCTGGATGCCTCTGGATGTTCCAGTGCAAATCATGGCTTGTAGCTCTAGTGTCAAATTATGCCTGATTTCTGCAAGCCTCCACCCCAGTTAATGAAGCTTGACATTATCTGTCTTTTTTCTGTTTATTGAAGGGCAATTGCTCATCAGGTTTTCTTATTTACTTTTCTGGATGAAAGTTGCAGGCCACTGTTACCAACATCCTACTCCTTTCCAGAAAGAATCAAATATACCAAACCAAAATGTATCTCCTCTTCCCCAAGGCACATATTTTCTAAAAGTATGCCAGCTTGCTGTTTCATTTGCTTGCTTGCTGAGATTATGAGAACATAGTTCTAACTATCTTTTAAATCCTAAATGCACTGGGGGCAGGTGTCCAGTCTCCTGAGATAACACTTTCTCTCCAACCAGTAAACAGGGCAAGGGAATTTGAACCTGACTCTATATCTTCGGGGAAAGTCTATTAAGATCCTCTCACAACTGAAATATGTTCTTCAAGGTCTGGAAAGAGTTTATTTTGTTCATTTCTCAAACCTCTTCTCCATGATGGCTTTTGTCTACCAACCTATTCCAGAAAATATTAATAGATATCTATGCAACTGTTAAAGATTCTTCAAGGGCAAAAACATTCCTCAGAATTTGCCCTCATCCTGATCTGTAAACAGTTCTTATCAGCAACTTCCTTTTTATTTTAACATCTTTGACTAAGTTCAGTATTTGGAAGATGGTGGTTTACATACCTCGAGACCTCTCAATAATCCAGATACTGAGAGGCTATGTGGAGTGGGATTGTTCTTCTTTTAAGATCAGATATGACAGTTCCTATAGTAATCTAGCCTGTTCATTGAAGATAATTTTGCAAGTTTGCTTCACATGGTATTTGTCATTTGGTGTAGTCTAAAAGCAAATTCCCAGGCATAAATAAGGGCAGCAAGAGAGTTTTCTCATCTCACGTGGGAGTGGTGAACATGTTGGAGATGGTAGATATTCAAAAGCTTAATCCTGGTTTTTTGGCTCATGGAAAAGAGATTGCTGTCCTGCTCTGTACTCTTGATATATAAGTGGGAAGTATCAGAGACTTTTCAGAGGGAAAAATAGTAGAAACTAAATAAAAGTCACCCTCTGATGTTAAAATATATAATTTAAAAAGGTAAAATCACTTTATAATAAATTTATGGAATTTGATTCTATATATATTTTCTGTCTTGTGTCAACAATATTACTCAGAAAAGATAGCTCCATTGCAAGAATGGTTAAGTATAGCCGGGGCAGTGTCCTAATTATATGGCCAGTTTTGCAGGAAGGAACAATGACTTCTCAAATATGAGGTTTGAATCACTATCAGAGATAAAATCGTGGACATTGACTGTGACCCAAGGTGCAGGAGCTTATTTGTTGTGCTATAAGCTTGTTAGACCTGCCTGATTCTATTGCAATTCTTAAGGTTGTCAGTGAGTCTCTGCCAACCCACTAGACTTTATGGAAGCATCTTCCTTGTCCACCTATAAACAAGGCAAGAGAGGGTGAATGTTGCCCTGAGAATGTGAAACAAGTTTATTAAGATGCATCTGAGCTTGAGGCTCTCATCTAAGGAATGCAGCAGTTGGGAGGTGAAGGAGTGGGGCATCATTAGATGGTTACCGCATATACAGTTGTCAAGGCAAGGAGAAAGGGTGTTGTTTAGTACTGAAATCATGTATTCCAGATGTGGGCATTTGGTAGTCAATCTGCTCTGAAGTGACACGCTGCTGAATCTTTAAAGGGCTTCAGCTGGGGAGAGCAAAATCTGATTGGGCAAATTGCTAAAATATTTAAAGTGCAGCCTGTTAAAGCTTTTACTGCGGAGAGCATCACGTCAGAAGTTGTAGTCAGAAAGAGCGAGTAATTGGCTTTCCATCCTCATGCCAGTCAGTCAGCATGAGGCTCTATTCCTATTCCTTCCTCTTCATTGCCGATGTTAATAGCAACCCTTTGGGGTGTGTGTGCGTGTGTGTGTGTGTGTGTGTGTGTGTGTGCTGGGGAGATTGAAAAGCTGGTAAAATGAGAGGAAGAGGAGTGAGGTAGCCTTAAGAAGGCGGGATGAATCCACAAAATGGTAGAAGACAATCTAGGAAAAGAGGGGCTGGGGAAAGGTGGAAGTGCTCCCTGACAAAGGCCAGCTGCACTTCCAAATGAGTGAGGGGGTGGTTTGGGGTCGTTGTCTCTCAAAGGATGGATTCTGTAAGCAGAAGCATGGCCTTCACTGACAACCACTTCCTCTGCCTCTTTCATCTCCTCTGAGATGTAATTCAGGGGGCACTTTCCATTTATAATTTATCACATTTTCCACTTAGGTTTTCCTGTCCTTTTCTCCCCAGGCATGACCCCTTGTTAATTCCTGGCAATGATCAGATTGACAACATGGACTCCAATGTGAAGAAGTACGACTCTACTGGGATGTTTCATTGGTGTGCGCCCAAGGATATAGAGAAAGTCATCCTGGTGAGTGAGAGACTGGGGATCTGATGTTGTTTGCTTCTGCCCCAAACCACATTTGCTAGAAATGGGGTTTCTCTAATGGGACAGTGGGATACTACAGTCCTTGATCCTAATTATTTTTGATAATTGAAATCCTGAGTATAGACCAAACCAGCTACAACTCTGATCAGAACATGAACAACATTCAGAATTTTCCATCTCTGAATATATTGGCTCCTCATAAGAGTGGGTGATCATGTGCTCTGGGAAAAAGACATGGTGGGAGGTGGTATGAACGTAATTCCTGTGGCCGTGGCACTGGTGTCAGAGCTTGCTTGTACCATTTATTAGCTGCATGGCTTGGGTAATTCACTTGACTTTTTTTTACTTCAGTTTTCTTATCTGTACAAAGATGAGATGAGGATGATCCTAATTCATGGGGCTGTAGTGAAGATTAAAACCCAACATGTGACCCAATAAAGTTACCTCTTATTCTTCTTATTCTTCTTATTAAATGCTGCAAGGAAAGCTGAATGCTGCCTGTGTTGTTATTGGTTTATCGCAGTGTTTTATTTTCTTATAGATAATAGCCTTGTGTATCTGTGATTCTGCTTAGCGCATGTCATAGGCGGGCAAATGCATCATGATGCATGATGTAATGATGACAATAATGAACTACAGTCTTCTTGGGGAGGCTAGGGCTCAGAGCCCTATTTTGTGGATGGCTTGTGAATATCTTCATAGCAGCAGTGGGCTCTCTCAGTCTGTCCCAGGAATGTCAGTGTAGATAACAATCCATTCTACTCTCTGCCCTTGTTCTGTTAGCAGCTTTGGGTCTTAATGCCTACATTGGCTTTCCTACAGTTTATTGTCTTGCTAATCCATGAAAAATGGATTAATAATCAGGAAAGTCAGCTGGAAGGGTTCTTTCTCCCTTGGGCCTCTAATCCCCAGATTGGTTTGGGTCTGTTCCTTTCTGTCAGCCAGGAAAATCCTATCATTTCTGATGTCAGGACCACCCTTCCTAAACAAGGACTGTTCTGGATCCTCAGAATGGCTTTGTACTCTAACACACTGGACTTTTTCCTATGCTTTATCTGTGTGTGTTGGGAGGAGGGTCTCAATTTAATTATAAACGAGCATTAAGAGTCAATAAAGTATCAAGCTGGAGGCTGTCTCAGAGGTGGGAAAGTTGTAGGCAAGAACACAGAAAGTCAGAATTCTCAGTAAACAGCCATTGTCCAACTGACCAGGAGTGCACATGGTTCTATCCACAAAGCTGCTTCATGTATGTACATTCTGATATATTCATGGCACTTCTGCTCTGGTGGTCTAAACTTTGCCTGATGTGACCACTTGTGGCAGGTCATAGGCTGGATGCCCTATCTGGGACCTAGAGTTTTAATGACTTGCTTAGATATTGCTGAAGTATGCATGCCAACTGATAGCCAATCAATATCTCCTGCCAGCACAAAAAAGTTAAGGAAGGTGAGTTACTACTTCTATCCTGTGAAAAATAACATCATTTAACAAAACATCTACAAGAGGCCTACTATGTGCCACACACTGTTCTAGTTGCTGGAGATGTAATCCTTGACAACAACACTCTCATAGAGCTTGTATTCTAGTGGGATGGGGCTGGGGGGAAGAGGAGTTATCTCCAGGTAAACAAATGAATATGTAATAACATTTCAGATATTTATGGGAAGCTTCAAACAAAAAATAAATAAATAAAGCAGCATCATAGGCTAGAAAGAGACTGGGAGGTACTGTTTGGAATATTTGATCCAAGAAGCCCTCTCTAAAGTAACACAGGGCTAGAGATGAGAATGATAGGTAAGACCAGCTACATGAGGATGCTTTAAGGCTGTATATCCATTGGACACAGGAAACTAACTACTTTGGGGATTCGAAGATATAAGAGATAGTCTCAATTGTGAATAAAATGTAACCATGAAACAGTGTCTTTAAAGCTAAGCAGTAGGAGGCACAAAGTGCTATTGAAATGTAGGGGAGAAGGACTGGTGTATGTTTAAATGGCCAGACAAGGCCCATCAGATAAACACAGGCTGTGCTTGGGTTGGGCCTGGAAGGATGCATAGGAATTCCAGATACATAGAGAAACAAATGATCAGTTCCTCCAGTGTGTCTTAAACCCAGCAGAATCAGACGCACAAGAGGTGAGGCTCTGGAATTAGGCCTTTCATAATATTCTCCAGGTGATGTTGCTGTAGCCCATCTGAAGATGGGTGTTTTGATCACAGATCAAAGTTCCTGGGGTCAGCATCTGTGCCTCGGCCACTCTGCTATCTGTACCTTCCCCACCTCTCAATTCTAGAATTCACTTCCACCCTGAACCCAGTTTGTATTCCTCCAGTTTGTTGAAGGGAGCTAGGCTCCCAGGTGACCTGGCCAATTAAAAATAATTAGGAGCCCCATCACATAACAGTGCGCTATAGATTGGTTGGGTGTCCGCTGGTGGCACCCAGGCGCTCACATTTTCATGTGGCCCAGATAACTAACTCCAGGTCTTCTGCAGGAAGTGGGAATATGTGATGTGAGCTCCCCAGTGGGTCTTCCTTGGTCACAGTTTATAAGACATTTCTTACAGCTTGTGTCTCTGGTTTCCTTGGACTGTAACAGAGGGAAACCAATAATGGTGACAGCCCCTGCTTTATTCTAACGATCGAGTGGTGAAAGCTAGCTTCGTCCTCTTCTTGGGGGTTATTGTAATAACCCTGACATTGTCGTGAGTTGCTATATGGGCATTTATACAATCAGTGCAGTGATCAATTCTAGAGATTAAATCAAGCAGAGTTTGATATGTACAGTGGACATTCGTATGCCTTCCCAAAAGCATTGTAAGCCACATGGAGCCATCCAGGTGTGAAGTGGGTAGACAGGGTTGGGAGGCATCAGTCCAGAAGGAGAGGCAGAGAAAGGTCTACAGCTGGCCTCTTGTCCTCACTAGCTTAGTGAACCAAAGGACCAGCAGTGACTAAGCATTTGTATTTCCCGGGAAGTTGGGGTTCTCCTCTCCTTTCATTTGTCTCCTTTGTAGAGGGAGGTTTGGAGTTGGAGGAAGACACTGGCCTGTTGCTCTTATTGACCTCTCTCTTGCCCCTTATAATGATTATCTGGGAAGATCTTTTCTCTGAATGACTTAAGCAAAGCAGGCCCCTCCAGAAATGTCCTTGGAAACTCCAATACAGCACTGAACAGGGGGTTAGCAAAGTTTTTCTGTAATAAGTCATATAATGAATAATTTAGATTTTTCAGGGTATAAGGTCTCTGTTGCTACTGATCAGCTCTGCTGTTGTAGCATAAAAGCAGCCATAGGCAATACCTAAATGTATAAGCATGGCTGCGTTCCAATACAACTTTATGAGAATTTGAACTTTAATGTTCACAGATTATGACTTAGTCTTCTTTTGATTTTTTTCAACCATTTTGAAGCACAGAAGTCATTTTTAGCTCACTGGACATACAAAAGAACATAATGGGCCAGATTTGGGCTGTGGGTCATGGTTTTCCACCCCTGGCTTTAGGTAGCATGTTCCATCTGCTGATGCAATGATGCATTGACATCTCACTGATAAATCTGGAATTCCATACCTGAATTTCTCAAACTGAGCTCAGTGTAGGGATCTGACCATTTTATCATCATCTCAGCAAGCGAGCCAGAAAAGGCAACTCATTTAATCAACAGTTTCATGGAAACTAAGACTTCTCTTTCCAAATAGCATAAATATTCCTTTTCTCTCTTATTTTACCTCCTGAAAATGATTATGAAGATCTGCTCACACATATTTATGGCATATCTTTTTAAAATCTTTTGCCAAAGAAAGTAACAATGTGTACGGATATACATTTAGATAGATTTATTACATAAATATACACATGCTCAAATTATAGCTCTGTATGGCATGTATATAACATTGATGAAATAAAAATAATAGCACATAGTAAGCTCTCAGCAAATGTTTACTTGATTCTTTGCACGAATGATTTTTTCACTCCTCACGACAGCCCTGTGCAGACTTCCCTCTGATACTGACATACATCTCCCTGTTGCAGACTCGAAGTGAGGCCGCCATGACCGTCCTGAGTGGCCATGTCGTGGTCTGTATCTTTGGTGATGTCAGCTCAGCCCTGATCGGCCTCCGGAACCTGGTGATGCCGCTCCGTGCCAGCAACTTTCATTACCATGAGCTCAAGCACATTGTGTTTGTGGGCTCTATTGAGTACCTCAAGCGGGAATGGGAGACGCTTCATAACTTCCCCAAAGTGTCCATATTGCCTGTAAGTCCAAGGTCACATTATTGATGCCTTTTCTTCTTTTCATTCACAAAAGAAAATCCCAGATGGATGTAATAGTTGTAGCTTTGATCATGCCTGTGCTTCTTCATCTGGGTATGGGCCTGAGGACTCAGCACTTCCCCTATGCTCTGTCAAGGAAAATCCAAACCCTGCGAGACCTTATTAAAAGGAATTTGCAGCCAAGTTCAGTCCCTCACCAGGGATGAAGTTTAGCTTGTATCAAGTATATTAACCATATCCGTGTCTAAACACTCTCTCGTTCCTGCCTATACAAAACCTAGAGCATTGTTATATTGTGATGTTTATTTGCTTACAAAACTATAGCATTATACTAATGGCATTTTTAATGCTTGGAGAAACCTGATCTGTTCCACCTTCTGTTTTTAACTTAATAAATGCAAATAACAGAGTTCTTTATTTCTGCTGTACAGAAGGCCAACTCCTTCTGCAGCTCAGCCCTACCCTGTTCATTTAGAAATACAGAAATGTGTCCATGATTGTGTGTGTGTGTGTGTGTGTGTGTGTGTGTGTGTGTGTGTGTGCATGCACATGATATTCTTGACTGCAAAACATTAGGACTCCAGTCTGAAAAAACAATCTGGGACTCCACAATTTAGTGTAAGGATATGGGATTTAGGAGTCACGCAATTAGCTACTTCATAATCATAATCAATGCATAGTCCACAAACTTTCCAAAAATTGTAAAGAATTATGCATTTCAACATTTGATATAGTTATCCACATCACAAATTCATGCAAACATTTATCCTCATTTATCCTCCAACATTTTTCTCGTAAGTTCATGTCTCCAAAACAAACAGGGGCTGGGTGCGGTGGCTAATCCCTGCATTTTGGGAGGCCAAGGTGGGAGGACCACTTGAGCTCAGGAGTTTGAGAGGAGCTTGGGCAACATGGTGAGACCTCTTGTCTACAAAATGTTTAAAAAATTAGATGTGGTGGCACATGCCTGTAGTTCCAGCTACTTGAGAGGCTGAGTTGGGAGGATCACTTGAGGCTGGGAGGTCGAGGCTGCAGTGAGCTATGTAAGCACCACTGCACTCTAGCCTGGGCAACAGAACAAGACCCTGTCTCAAACAAAAACAAAAACAGAGGAACATGGATTTCTTTGTATGTCAAGAGGTCTGGTTTTTTCCCCACTTACAGAGCTAACATCTGTTATTTCTATCAACAGTTTCTAAAACCTCAGAAATGTGGAAAAAAAGAGCCAAGCAATAGAATTCATTAAAGAACACATAGGAATCTATCCACAAGCAGTACTTATTACTCATCAGTTGCCACCATGTGTCTTTACATAATGCCTGGCAAAATAGGGCTCGATAAATATTTAAAGGAGTGAGAAAAATATCAGACAGTTATATTTTGGATGCTGGGCCAAAAACCCACTGACTTAGTGAACACAGGTGATTGAAAATAGTCACCTGTAGACCAACAGTCATACATAAAGGAGAGCAGAAGCATATAAATACTTTGCTAATTCCAGAAACATGGTTGATTTAATCACATGATTCCATGGTTATCTTTCTACATGTGTTCTTCCACATAGTCCCCGGACCTCTAAAAGTGTCTTGGTAAAGAGTTTATTATTTTGCTAGAATACATGAGTCTGCATGTATGTGTGTGTGTAGAGTTGGGTATTTGTGTGACGTTTGGTATTTGTGCATGTGTGTTGTGTGTGTTTGTGTGTGTTTCCTTCTGTGTGCCCTTGTATACGTTCACTTGTCTGTCTTCATGTATGTGAATGAGCTCTCATATTTGCAAGTCCTTTTCAAACCCTCCAAAATGTAACCTACTGAAGCACAATAGATTTTCACAAAATGAACCTTCATCTCTGTCCTCACAGAGTCTATTGTTTAAGCAGTACCCTTCCTCTAGGGCCAGCCCATGGAAACATAAGCAATTTCTATGTATGTCATTTGTATTCCTTGTGGTTTGAAATCATGTGTGTACAACTGCACAGGGATCATCTTATATCACCATTACAGCCGGCTTCTCTACAAGGTGAAAATTAAAAGAATATGGATGCAGGCAATTGAAGATTATGCACTGGAAAAATGACTCAGGAAGTTGATCAGACCTGTTTTGTACCAAGAGGTCACAGGAGAAGAGGGCATTCTACTTCTTTCAAGAGATGCTGCTTCAGGGCTTGGAACTAGTTAGTCATGTCTCAGCAGCACCCACAGTCCTAAATTCCCCTTCCTCCACAGTTGCACTTTGCAGCAATATTTTAGGCGCTGAGAATAGAATCATGACTACCATTGAATTATGAAAGAGGGTAGATATATAGGCTTCATCTCTGCAGCCAAATTCCTTCTTCTTGAAGCCACTTCTCCAGAAAGGCAGATGAGAGGAAGACATTCACAGATATGTGGAAGTTGGTAAACCCTCGCTCTATACAATCAGAGAGTTGAAGGTAACTCAGGTCGCCATGCAGGCCAAGAGGAAGCTAGAGTCAGGCTAGAGGACCAGTGAAGCTGGTGGCCAGACAGGAGCCCCAAAATGATACTGCATGGCCACTGGGGAGCTATGACATGGGGTGGCCTGATTATTTTGCAGTGGCTCCAACTGAAGACAGAGCATGTGGCGCTCATGGTCCTGCCCTTCAATTCTAACTCTTTCATTTTACCTGCGCTTGCATTCCTGGACTCTGTTGTTACCTCCTGGATCTGGGATTTTTCCACCGTCTTCTGTTATTTTTTATGTTAAAAATCTGTTTACTGGCTTATTTATTTTTAAATGCACCCATAATATACAAATATGTTCTTGTTATAAAATATTCAAACAATATAGAAGTATATAAAGGCAAAAGCAAACTTTTCCCTCACCCCCACCAATCCTATTTCCCTTCCCAGAGGGAATTACCATTATTAGTGTAATGGATATTTTTCCTGTGCTTTCTTTCCAAATTTACATACATTTATATATATGTAGTTTTATTTTGTCGGGTTTTTTTTTAAACATAAATGAAACTATACATTTTTAATTGCCCTAGAACTTTTTTTTCACTTCCCCTCTATCTTAGAGAGCCTTCTAAGCTGATGCCTGCATGGAGAGCTAGCTCCGTCTCTTTACCTCCTGCATACATTTCCACTGTGTGAATGTCCAAACGTATATTTCACCATTCCTATGTTGTTGGACAATCAGGCCACTACCTTGTATATTTTTTTCTTGCAGAAATATGCAATAAAATTATATGACCTGGAGCTTAACTCCTTTCCATATCCCTTTTGCATTGCACACATTAATTCCACTCCAAATTGAGCCGCACGTCCAGGCCCACCTCATCACTCCATGCTCACTGGCCATTTCCTCCTGGCTGCGTTGGAACTGCTGTCTTTTGCCTGAGACAGAAGTGACCTGCTATTAAATAAACAGGCATTCGAAACCCACTCCCTTGTTACATTCTGAAAGCCAGAGGTTGCCACAAGCCAGTTACTTAAATCAAGACAATTTCCAGGCAGGAAGAAGATGTAGAACCCTGGCATTATTCCTCTCCCACGTTTGTTAGTAATAGCTTGATTGAGTATTGAGAGCAAGCTTAAAATGCTGCCATCAGCACCAACTACCCTTTAGATTAGCACACAGCTCCTATTCCCTTGAATGTAGTTAGGCCAGCTTAATGTCAAGGCATAAAAAAGATACTTGTTAAATAATTTCCCAAAGCTCCGACTCAATCTTTAATTTGTTTTTATTTTTTTCCTCTTTCCCTCTCCTCTCACTTTTGTTCCTTTCTCTCTCTGTGTTTTTTTTTTTTCTTTCCTCTATGCCAAAGGGTACACCATTAAGTCGGGCTGATTTAAGGGCTGTCAACATCAACCTCTGTGACATGTGCGTTATCCTGTCAGCCAATCAGAATAATATTGATGATACTTCGCTGCAGGACAAGGAATGCATCTTGGCGTCACTCAACATCAAATCTATGCAGTTTGATGACAGCATCGGGGTCTTGCAGGCTAATTCCCAAGGTAAGGACAGCCTGTAATACTTCTTTGCTGTGCCTACGGGGGACAGCAGCTGGCAAGAGGGATATCCTTCACTCAGTAATTCAAAGAGGCTCACATCAGCCTGCCTGGCAGTGAAACCTGCGGTCTCCAGGATGGCTTTCAAAGGTACATCTGCTGCCTCTTCTTTCCATTCTGGGGTGCAGGCTTGAGACCTGGTCACCCACACACAGACTAGGTTGCCTTTCCAGAGGATAAACAAGACTTTAAATGGCCACCGCCTCAGCTTTCCCAGAGTGTCTTCATGAGCAGTGTCAGCTAAATGTCAGAGCACTGAAAAGATGCTGGCTGCACAATTCCTACCGTTTCCTTCCAGTATATATTTTTGCCATTGAGCTGCGATGGGAATGTTAAGCTTTGCTATTGTTAGAGCTGCCTCTAGGACTCGGCTGACCTAAGGATGGTACTCTCCAGAGAGTGGCAACTCTATGGACACTAAAAGTCATTTAGCAAGAGGTGACACTTGTCAGACCACACATTTTCCTATAGGAGGCAAAGCAGCCTTAAGTGACACACGTCTGCCTTCCTACTCTGGCTCCAGTCTTTCCTGTCATTTGTTTTGGGATCCTGGGCAGGGGGTTACAAGTAAAGATGTCTAGGAGTCTCAGAAAGGAAACGCAGCAAAACCTTCATAACAAACGACCTCTGTAATCAGCATCTGGCAGGATAGGATGCAGAGCATTTTCCTTTGAGTGACACCTCCCTGTAGTCTTGGCATAAACTGGAGGATCATTGTTACATAAGGGCTACCAGCGGGTGGCATGGGCTGCCTCATGAGGACCTGAATCCCATCAGTCTGGGATGGAAGGCTGTAGGAGCACAGTCCTTGAGCACTATGGCTACTGGCATATGAAGCACCATCTTATTGATAGCTGGGAAAGTGTCTGACCTCCTCCACGTCATGCCAGGCTTTCTAGAAGCTCAGCTGGATCATGCATCCTAGATCTGTGAGCTACATTATCTTTTGTCAACTTGACATCACCACCACCACCTTCTAACATTTGCTTAGCATTGCAGAAAATCCAGAAACAATCATTCCTAGAATCCTCTTCCCTGCATGGCTCTGGGCTAGAGTCAGCGGGTGGGAGAGGGGCATTGGAATGAGATTTGGAAAGTGCAGGAGAAAGAGAGGTTTTGATTCTTTGGAGGCAGCTGAAGCCAGACCTTAGCAGACCCAGGTTCGAATCATCTCTCAGAGGAGCTTTCTGGGAGCAAGTATCTTTACTGCTGGGAACTGAGAGAGGGGTTGGGGCTTCTCTGAGAGTCTTGAGGTTCATAGCACCTTCTGGTCAAGCTTAAGGGAACCTTCTACTTTTGTGTTGGATGTGAAGTGGCTTCTGTCCTTTTGACATCACCCCAATACAGCCTGAAGCCTAATTTTGACCTCTCCACACCACCATCCTCCCTACCACATCCAAATCTCAATCTTGGTATCCACCTGCTCAGCTGTGCCCGCAGGACAGAACAACATGTCAAGGCCTAAGAGAGACCCTGCGCTCTTACTCCCAGCTGCATCCTGCAGAGGCAGAGCCCCCCTCCTGCCCAGGCAGCACAGGTGAGAAAGGAAGTGAGAAGACAGTAAGCTGACCTTTTAGGAGGTAAAAGAGGCAAGCTGGCATTTGGTTCCTGCCTTTAAGCCCTTGACCTTCAATATGTGTCCTCTCTGCCCTGTAAGGGTATCTAACAGGGAAGCCTGTTAAAACTGTAGAATCTCATGGCTCACCCCAGATCTGCTAGGTCAGAATCTGCATTCCAACAAGATCCCCAGGCAACTCAAATGCACCCCTTTAAAGCACAGCAAACCTTCACATGAACAGGACATGACTAACACTTGTTAGATGCTCCTTTCCGGAGGAGCAGTGAACCATCAAGCGGAATGGAAAAAAGTAGAAGCAGTGATTCTCCCTTTAAGTAGAGACAGAAGCCAGCAGGAGAAGGCAGGAAAACACTCCTTTTCCCCAACATGCCTGTTTCCTCCTAACTCAATCATCACGATTTTCCAGGGCCATAGATTAGAATCTCAGTGTATAATTTAGTTACACATGCGTCTGATGTAGGTGTTCCTTCCAGCTCTCTTAGACCTTATCCCAGCCTCTTGGATCCTATATAAAGGACAAACGGTAACAATTCTTTCACTCCCCACTGCCCAAAGCCTTCTTTGTTCTTTTTTAGCAAAAGATAAGCAAGAAAAATAGGTTTTGGCAGGAGATATGGAGGAAAAAGAAAGAGAGCTCATTTTTCCTCTAAAGAAAAAACAAAAGGCACTCTTTTTTTTGTACACACACATGCACACAGCTATGGTCTGAATGTTTTTGTCCCCTCCACCCACTCCCTGCCAAATGCATACACTGAAATCCTAATCCTTAAGGTGACGGTATTAGGTGGTGGGGCCTTTGGGAGGTGTTTAGGTAGTGAGGGTGGAGCCCTCATGAATGGGACTGGTGTCTTATAAAAGAAGCCTGAGGCCAGGCATGGTAGCATATGCCTTGGGAGGCCAAGGCAGGTGGATCACCTGAGGTCAGGAGTTTGAGAGCACTTGGCCAACATGGCAAAACCCCATCTCTACTAAAAATACAAAAAAAATTAGCTTTGCGTGGTGGCAGGCGCCTGTAATCCCAGCTACTCAGGAAGCTGAGGCAGGAGAATCACTTGAACCCAGGAGGTGGAGGTTGCAGTGAGTTGAGATCATGCCACTGCACTCTAGCCTGGGCAACAGAGCAATGTTTTATTTCTAAGAAATAAATAAAAGAAAAGAAACCTGAGAAAGACCCCTCACCTCTTTAGTCATGTGAGGACACTGTGAGAAAGTCCTCACCACAGACTGAATGTGCTTTGATCTTAGACTTTCCATCCTCCAGCATTGTGGGAAATAAATTTCTGTTGTCTATCAGTCACCCAGTTTATGGTGTTCGTTACAGTGGCCAAAATGGACTAAGACTGCACACATAACAGACTAAGGCAGAGGATGTGTTTCTATGCTTAGCAGTTATTCTCATAGACCCCTGGTCAGCAGTGGAAGAGAGCATCTGTCTCTCACTAGCCAGCAGTCTGTTCTCACCCTAGGAAAAGAGTGTCAAAGCTCTAGGCCAGGTATCCCCAAACTACGGCCCCGCAGGCCGCATGCAGCCCCCTGAGGCCATTTATCTGGCCCCCCGCCACACTTCAGGAAGGGGCTCCTCTCTCATTGGTGGTCAGTGAGAGGAGCACAGTATGTGGTGGCCCTCCAATGGTCTGAGGGACAGTGAACTGGCCCCCTGTGTAAAAAGTTTGGGGACGCCTGCTGTAGGCCCACCAAGCCCTTATGTCCCATTGGTTTCTTGTCTGTCTGCCCCTCTCATTTTTGGATACTGTTCTCCTGTGACACTTTAGCCTTGCAAAGGCAGTGGTCCAGTGGGAGCCATCAACACAGAGAAGTCACTCTTTCCCCAGTGCTCACCTCTCCGGCCACAGACCCAGCACCCCTCTCCTTGGACTCCTCCCAGCCTGTGAACTGAGTCCGTGAGCGGAGTTTCCCTGCCTCTCTGTATCTGCGACCCTTTTGACTAACTGGAGTGCCTACTGGCCTGAGATACATTTGTCATTCTTCATCAGAGTATTTGGCATGGTCAAGCTCCCAGGGGATAGGAATTACGGGGAATAAAAAGGATTTCATGTTACTCTTCTTTTTTTTTTGGTGGTCTCACTCTGTTGCCCAGGCTGGAGTGTGATGGTATGATCTCAGATCACTGCAACCTGTACCTCCCAGGTTCAAGTGATTCTATTGCCTCAGCCTCCCGAGTAGTTGGGATTACAGGTGCCCACCACCACGCCTGGCTAATTTTTGTATTTTTAGTGGAGACAAGTTTTCACTATGTTGGCCAGGCTGGTCTCAAACTCCTGACCTCAGGTGATCCACTCGCCTTGGCCTCCCAATGTGCTGGGAATTTCATGTTACACTTACCATTTTGGGAAACAAATCTAACTTCCTCTGAGTGATGAATGCATAGACTTTTGGCCACTGACACCCTTGCTTTCAATCTTATGTATTCTGTGGTCTTTTATGGAATCCCATGCTAGGCTTTGTTTGGATAACTATGTTTCCATGTCTCTAGAACCTAGCTGGGTAGAAATGTGGACTCAGGACAAATGTCATGCTCTTGAGTCAGAATATGCATGCAACTTTATGGAAAGATTTGCTAACATGATATAATTTAACATGAAAAATGTGCCCTCACATTGAGAAAGTAGAGCCTTCCTTGGACAGCTGCCACTGCATGTTATTAGGGCTCCTAGACTAACAAAGCCTCTCTTTACTCTTCTGTTATCTTTTCACATTCCCTTTTGATGTCACTATTCTAGCCCACATAGTGTCAGAACTGACCCAGCCTAGGGATTCTGGACCAGGCACTTTCTGAAAAGATCCAAGATGTGATGGGTTGTTGTCAAAAACAATTACAGAAGAAGGTGGCATACCCCAAGCCGGATGGTATATCCGATGTGACAGTCGGGTCTATGAGATGCAGTTTTAATATACAGCAGGCAAAACTGCAGTGACAATTACATAAAGCAGATGAAGCTGCTTCTTGCTGGTCAGCAAACATCAGCTCAGAACCACTTTACAGCTCTTTACCAGCAACTAAGTGCCTTTATTTACAGAGTGCCTGTCACTTCCCTTTGGCTGGAGAGCTGGTGTATTATTTAGCACGCATTTATCTGGGGAAAACATTTCAGTTTAAATCAGTTGGTACAACAGTGGCTCTTGCCAGACTGTTTCCCTGTGGTTCGAAAAGACAAGAACTGAGTCTGATCTTGGAAGAAAGGGTGAGCAGAGGGAAGCAGGGTCCACTCTCAAAGCTACTTCCGTTCATACCTGAAAAGAGGGAGCATGCAATGACATTTCCCATTCTGCTGTCATATCATTTGGAAATGAGGATCTTGTAGTTTTCTCCTGCTTACTACTTCCAGGAGGGGTAACTCCTAAGGAA